TTCAGCAGTGTCCTTTCTTCACACTTTTGTCTTTGCAATCCTGTCACCCTTTTGTCAGTTGCTGAAAGCATCACAGGAAGCCAGTGTGCCTCAGATGTGCTCCTTCCCTGAAGGACACTCTTGCAATATGAACCAGCTAGAGACCAAGGCTTCCACCTCCCTCTCCCAGACTGTGCATTACGGTTATCAGACTGGCAAGTGTCCCTGGAGGAAAACGTTTGTGAAGTATCATGTATTCTAATTATGTCAAAGTTTGCAAAGGCAATGCTTTCCATCTCCTTCCAGTGCCAAGCCTCCAGCCAGTGCTTTCTGTATCTTGTAAAAAAATATCAGGGTCATCAGCACTGAAGGGTTGTGGTTCACCACAGACAATCAAACAGCTCTGTCTGTCTAGCAATTAATTGCACGCCTGGGCATTGACTGATGGTTAACTTCCACCCCAGGCTATTCGAAAGGAGCAGGAATGCGATCCGTTTCTTCAGATGCAGTAAAGAGATTCCTTATTTATTCCAGTGGATCATGGTCAAGTGAAGAAACGTTTCTGTAAGATTTCTCATTTTAAAGGGGTGTGTGTGTATGTGTGTGTGTGTGTGTGTTTAGATTTCCACTTAGATTAATCAGCCTGGAGGCCTTTTGGGTTTCCTTGTTCCCTCTCCACTTGCAACTTTTTCTTGTACATTTCAAATTGTGTGATCATCTGAACCTGTTTTCCTGCAGCTTGTTTCCTGATATTCTCCTACCACTCATTCATCAGAGTAAAATCATTTAAACTCTCTGAGAGTCTGATTATTGTGGCGCGATGATCCATTCAATAGTTATTATCCAATGAAATCTTAGCCAGGATTTACTTGTGATGGACTACGCAAATCTTTGAGCTTGGCAGAAAGAAGTTTTATGGGAAAATGGTGCGAGGTGAAATCAGTGGATGACTGGGGTAAAAAGTATGTCAGACAAAGGACCCTCAGTGATGGAGCTGTTTTGCATCTCGGCTTTCGTGAGGATCTCATGAATCTACATGTGTGACAGAATTGCATAGGATCAAATGCACACGCATGCAAATAGCTGCACGCTAAACGGGAAATCTGAATAAGGTGGACTGTATCAATGCCAGTATCCTGATTATGGATATGTACTATATTTACACAACATCTTTTTTTCTTATTTTTTTGACAGGCAGAGTGGATAGTGAGAGAGAGAGACAGAGAGAAAGGTCTTCCTTTGCCGTTGGTTCACCCTCCAATGGCCGCTATGGCCGGCGCACCACGCTGATCGGAAGTCAGGAGCCAGGTGCTTCTCCTGGTCTCCCATGGGGTGCAGGGCCCAAGCACTTGACCATCCACCACTGCCCTCCTGGGGCACAGCAGAGAGCTGGCCTGGAAGAGGGGCAACCGGGACAGAATCCGGTGCCCCAACCGGGACTAGAACCTGGTGTGCCGGGGCCGCAGGCGGAGAATTAGCCTATTGAGCTGCGGCGCCAGCCTACACAACATCTTACCCTTGGAAGGAACTAGGTACGCAGGATCTCTCCACGTTATTTCTTAAAACTGCATGCAAATCTACCATGCTCTCTAAATTTGAAGTTTAACAATGAAGCGCTACAGAGAGGACAGGTCTGGGTGACAACAGGAGGCAGAGTCTTGGGTGGCAGGGAAGGATCTCAAGGGCCCAAAGAGGAGAGGACCCAAATCTAAAAGGAAGAGAGGCACAGACGGGAAGATAAGGCACATTCCTAAGGAAAACCTCATTCTCTTCCTGTCCGTAGACCACACCAGGAGACTACAGTCTATCATGAAGCCATACATTGTAGAACGATCATCTGCAAGATGTTGAAAGCAGGAATTACGGCTGACAGTCGCCCAGTGCTGCCAGTTGCTATGCACATGCACTATCTCACGATCCCTTCTTTAGTTCTGTAGCCTAGCTCCAGCTATTTTATCTCTTTTTTATTCATTGATTTATTTTATTTGTAAGTGTTTACACTAGACCAGTGAAACTAAAGTTTGGAGACAATGGGTGTTATTATTTCTATAGCATTAGTTTATTATAAAAGAGACATGGGAATTATTTACATGATGAAAGGTTTCAGAACTTCAGTGGAATGTGATGCCGTTTCAACAGACATTTCAAATCTACATATTTTCCAAGAATCTCACCATCTCTAAATAGAAAATAACCCTTGTCGTCTAGAAGTACTTTAATGCCTCCATATTCTGGAAGAAGAACTTTATCTCCAACTTTCACACTAATTGGTTGAATCTCTCCACCCTTTCCTTTAGAACCTGATCCAACAGCTACTACTACTGCTTGCGATAGTTTTCCTTGAGATTTTTCAGGGAGCATAATGCCTCCTTTGGCTACTGTTTCTGCGGCGCTCCTCTCAACCTAGACCCGGTCAAAGAGCAGAAGAAACTTCCCAAATGCCTGTCCTGCCATGGCCCCAACGCCGTAGCTCCCGCTGCGCTCTCGCTCCACCACAAGGAGAGACCCACAGCCCAACCCTCAGAACACATCTGTTTTGTCTATTTTACTACGAGGAAACCAAGGCATAGGAAGATTAATAAACATTAACTGGAAATTGGCACAGCCACAACTTCTCTGATTTGCTAAGTACAGAATTAGTGCTAAGTACACTAATTCAATGCTCACTCTGTGCCAGGTGTGCTGTCCTAACTGCTTTCCTTTGTAGAAGAATATGGCGGGGCCCAGTGCCATGGCTCACTTGGTTAATCCTCTGCCTGAGGCGCTGGCATCCCATATGGGCGCTGGTTCTAGTCCCAGTTGCTCCACTTCCAACCCAGCTCTCTGCTGTGGCCTGGGAAAGCAGTAGAAGATGGCCCAAGTCCTTGGGCCCTGCACCGGCATGGGAGACTGACCGGGAAGAAGCGCCTGGCTCCTGGCTTTGGATTGGCACAGTTCCGGCAGTTGTGGCCATTTGGAGAGTGAACCAATGAAAGGAAGACCTTTCTCTCTGTCTCTCCCTCTCACTGTCTGTAACTTTACCTCTCAAATAAAATAAATAAATCTTTAAAAAAAAAAAAAAGAAGAATATGGCCTATCACTATAGTTTCAGTTCTAGAACACTCCCCATTATGCATTGGCATCAAATAACCACTTTTGTGGAGTAAGCTTTTGGTGCTGTGCTTAAGTTGCCACTTGGGTGTCTTCATGTCCTACCTGGGTGGTTCAACTGTCAGGTTCTCCACTTTTTTTTTTTTTTTTTTTTGAAGACTTATTTACTTATTTGAAAAGGGGGGAGGGAGAGAGAGAGAGAGAGAGAGATCTCCCATCTGCTGGTGTTCAATCCCTAAATGGCTGCAACAGCCGGAGCTGGGCCCGTTCAAAGCCAGGAGCCAGGAGCTTCTTCTGGGTCTCCCATGCAGGTGCAGGGACCCAAGCACTGGAGCAACCAGGACTGGAACCGGCACTGACATGGGATGCCAGCGCCACAGGTGGCAACTCTACCCACTACGCCAGAGCACCGCCCCGGATTCTCCACTTCTTTTTTTTTTTTTTTTTTATAACTAGATCATTATTTTGCTTTCATTTATTTATTTTTATTTATTTTTTTGACAGGCAGAGTGGACAGTGAGAGAGAGAGAGAGAGAGAGAGAGAGAGAAAGGTCTTCCTTTTGCCGTTGGTTCACCCTCCAATGGCCGCCGCGGCCGGCGCACTGCGCTGATCCGATGGCAGGAGCCAGGTGCTTTTCCTGGTCTCCCATGGGGTGCAGGGCCCAACCACTTGGGCCATCCTCCACTGCACACCCTGGCCACAGCAGAGAGCTGGCCTGGAAGAGGGGCAACTGGGACAGAATCCGGCGCCCCGACCGGGACTAGAACCCGGTGTGCCGGCGCCGCAAGGTGGAGGATTAGCCTAGTGAGCTGCGGCGCCGGCCATATTCTCCACTTCTGATGCAGCTTCTTGCTAGTACATCCCGGGAGGCAGCAGATAATTGGCCAAATACTTGGCTCTTTGCCATCCATGGGAGAAACTTGCATGGAGTTCTGGGCTTGTGACTTCAGCCTGGCCCAGCCCTGACTGTTGTGGATATTAGGAGGTGTGAACCAGGAGATGGAAGATATCTCTGTCTTTCAAATAAAATGAAAATTAAAAAAATTTAAAAAATAAAAACTGTATTTTCTTTATTGTTTGTTTACTGTGAGGCATTTTGCACAAATTATTCCATTAAATCTTCACAGCAAGTCTGTGTTATCTACAGACTATTGGTGAGAAAGTGGAGGCCCAGAGAAGCTGGCTGTTTAGTCCCAAATCACAGCTACCAACAAGTGCAGAACCAGCAAAGGCTCTCAGGTGGGCTGGCCCCAGAGCTGCCAATCAAACTCTTAGCCCCACTGCCTCCAACTCAGAAACCACAGCCTCCAAGTCAGTTCATCTGGCAAAGCTCCATGCTCCTACCACCCACCGATTTTGCTTGATGTGCAACAGACACTATGCTTGGCTATTCGTTTTGCAAAACTGTCTTAGCAACTCAAGACATGGACCCCCTTTTTTTCCTTACCTGGTTCCAGATAACAGAGGCACACACAACTCCGTGTTTAAGAAGCCCTCTTTAATGAAGGTTGTCAGGAAGCGGTCAACACTTCTAACCTCTAAACCATGCACTCTTTCTCTCACCTTCGTGTCAATTCAGGGTATCCGGTGGGGCACTGAGGACCTCCCTACACTGTCATTTATCAGTCCCCCCCCCCCCCCCCCCGCGAAGGGACACATCCTCTGCTAAAATCCGCAAGAACCGTGCCCGCGAAGTCACGAGGAAGCTGCCCGGGGGTGGTGGTGGTGGTGGTGGTTTTTCGCAGGCTGATGGGATGGAACCCAACAAATTCACAGCGTGGAGCGCACTCTGAGTAACCACGAGGTAGCTGGCAGCTGCGGCGGCCTCCTGCGCTTTCGCTTTCGGGTTGGCGCGCCCGCCCGCTCCGGGGCCGACTCCACTTCCTGGTTTTCCCGGTCGCCTCCTTCCCGCCGGCCGCGGGCTGCCTGTCAACAAGCGGGGCTCGCAGAGAGACGCCAACTGCTATTGGAGGAGCCCATCCCGGCCTCCCCTATGCCTAGCTTCGGAGCTGTCAGTTACTTGTACAGTGCGAGCGAGATTTTGGCGCCACAGCTGGGAGTGAGGCTTTTGTTCCACAACAAAAACAAGAGGCTGAATGGCAAGGCTGCCAGCGCCGAGCCCGGCGGAGGCAGCCATAAAGGAGCGCGCCGTCGCCACGGTTTGTGACCTGCCATTAGCGACGGCTCCCTCGGCTGGCTTCTACAGGAGCCCATGGAGGCTATGTGGCAAATTCCGTTTGCACCGGCAGCCGCCCTGCTCGGGCCGCCGGGGTGAATGTGAGGCCCCAGAACGGGCCTGGGTTAGTCCAGGTGCAAGCGCACGTTGTCGGTGCGCCGCGGAGTCATTTCCCGCGCTTTCTGTCGCCTCTGTCAGAGCACTTCTGATGTCCCTCTGCGCCTGCAAGACCGTCTTTCTGACTGAAACAAGTTACCCGACGGATTCATTTATTTCTGGAAGAAGAGCTAGACATAAAAAACCATACTGCAATTCACCCGAATATGTGGTCCCGGGCTATAAATAGATAGCGGGACACCAACTCTTGCGTTATTTGATGTCTGCAAGGATGATGAGGTCATTTAAAACACAGCCAGAGCCCGCTTGCTTACCTCCTTTGAGATAAGAATCACGTGGGAAAACCGGAATTCACAACCCAGAAAGCAGTCAGAGGTGAGCGTTCTCATTTCAGGAGGGATTCTTTAAGTTTGGAAGCTTGCGGAATACTTGAAACTCTGCCGACCCCCCCACCCCCCCACCAAAAAGGCAAAAGAAACGTTAAAAGAAGGGAAAAAAAATCCCAAATCAAGGACGTTGATATCTAAAGTGCTACTATAAAAACGTATTCCTTCAGGTTTGGTCTGGTTTGAATGAATATTCTTTTGAGGAAATGATGAAGTGAAAGACAGTCATTCACACCTTAGCGGGAATGAGTTGGTTATTCTTTGTTGAGAGGAGAGAGACTAGTTACAACTGAGTTTCTGAAAAGAGGCAGAGAACACGATGGGTGGCAATAAATGCGGGAAAAGTCTGGATGCCTCAGAGGATAGTTGGTTGTTGCTTCACAATTCTGGCGAAAGCTGACTTCTTCTAAAAGACGGTTTCTGGTTAGTTTTCTTGTGTTTTGATCTTGCAGTGGAATTTTTGCAGTGATGGAAATGTTCTATATTTACCCAGCCCGGTGGCAGTCACGAGATACATGTGGTTATTGAGCAGCTGAAATGAAATGTGGCTTCTGGGGTGGGCATTGAGCACAGCACTTAAGATGCCACTGGAAACCTTCAAGGCCCTGTTCTTCTTCCAATCCAGCTTTCTGCTGATTGCACAACTAGGGAGGCTGTGGGTGATGGCTCAACTGCTTGGGTGCCTGCCACCCATGTGGGAGATCTGAATAGAGTTCTCCTGGCTTCAGCCTGGCCCTGACCTCTGCTGTGGTACTGTTGTAGGCATTTGAGCCAGCAGATTTCTCCCTTTCTCTCTGTCACTCTGCCTTTCAAATAAATCAAACACATATATAAAGCAAACAAATAAAAAAATGTGGCTGCTGTGATTTAGAATTTTACTTTTTAATTTAACACCCTCGTGTGACTGATGGCTCATCTTGAACAACACAGCTTTAGAAGATTTTAGAAGTTGGGGTGTCTTTGTATCTTCAGGAATAAAGAACAAAGTTAGTGCGGTGGGCAGCTGTCTGGGATTCACACCTCTACTGAGGCCCCCCACTTAGAGGCTAGATCTGGCAACTTGCTTCCAGCAGTAGAATCTGGCCCATATGATGGGATGTCACTTCCAAGATCAGGTTACGAAGAGACTGGCTCTGCCCTGGGTGTCCTCGTTAGCTGTATTCTCATTGGCCACGTCGTCAGCTGCACTATGGAGAAGTCACTCTGGCAAGGAACCACTGTCTTCAGTTCACAGCCAACAAGGATCTGAGGCCATTGTCCCAACAACTGTCAAAGAACTAAGTGCTGCCAACATCCACAGGCACGAGCTGCAGAGTGGATTTTCTACCAGTTCAGCCTTGAGAGGACCGAGGCCCTGACTGTCAATACGAAGAACTCTGAACTAAAGACCCCCAGGTAAGCCATGCCAGAATTCCAGATTTCACAGAACATGTGAGCTAATGGATATATATTGTTTGTAATTATTGGGTTAAAGGTAATTTGTAATACAGCAATGGATTTTAATATGATTGGACTCATTTAGAATACATTTGTTCTAGTTAGGACATCCCTAGGTGCAGAGACTTGCAAACAGTAGTGCCCACTGTGATGACAGTTCCCTGGTTTTAACAGTCTAATGTGGGCACCCTTTGGGAGGTACGACAGAAACCTGGCCCTGTTCTCTGGCTAGCCCTAGAAGCCACTTCCATTGCAGCCAGCTAGGTAGGAAAACAGCAGAAGGGAACTCAGAAGGGAGATCTACGGATGATGCACATCGTTTCCATCCCTGTTCCGCTCACTTATGTCAAATATTTCGCCAGAGCTGTAGGTCAGAGTGGGGACTCTGTCGCGCTGTGTGTCTGGGGTAAAGGTAAAGCTGATTCGGGGCTCAGCTGGCAGGGTTTGGCTTCGACACAGTATTCATTTGGGTGGTGAGCTCCTTGACAAAAAGAGGCCTTTTCATGCCTTGCCAAACCCCAGGAGCATGCAGACAAGAATCTCTTTACAAAAAACAATGAGGCAATGATAGATTGGCAAACAGACCAACTGTGCACCCCCACCTCAAGATGCTAGCTCAGCAAACTTGTCAGAATGTCCGAGCCCCATAAGCTTCTTCGATTCAACTAAATGCACACAAAACCAAAGCTGTTCAGAGAGAGGTGTGGCTCAGTTCTGGAAAATAAGGAAAAGATGCCTGTGCATGTCCAAAGGGACTTCTGAACCACAGAGGGGGATGGGCAAGGACCTCCATGAGTGGAGGCATCCTTTAGCTATGACTACAAGGGTGTATCTCCAGTCTATTGAGCTTCAGCCTGACTCTGATTTTCAATGTCATTGCCACTCTTTTTCTTATAGCTGTATTTTGGTTTACTTGAAAACAGAGAGAGATAGAGAGATCTTCCATCCTCTGGTTTATTCATCAAATGTTTATAAGGGCTGAAGCTGGGACAGCCCAGAGCCAGGAGCCTGCAACTTCAATCTGAGTCTCCCACATGAGTGGCAGAGTCCCAAGCACTTGGGCCTCATCTGCTGCCTCTATATGATATATTAGCTGAAAGCTGGATCAGAAGCAGAGGTGGGACTTGACCTCAGATACTAAAATGTAGGATGCAGTATCCCACACACAGCTTAACTCTCTGTGCCACAACTGCCCCCCACCCCCATGTCACTGTCATTCTTCAGGGTCTCTAGAAAAGGGCAAGAAAAGAATGAATTGGCTTGATTGACTTGGGTTACACTGGGGAGTTCATCTGTCAATACAGTTTTCAATGTTGTTGCTACTTTCTTCTCCCTTAGCATCCTCCCCACACCTGTTTTCCTTAACCTGTGAGCTTATTCCCACCCAGTGAAGAGGAACACAGTTCGGTTAATGTAACTGTGTGTGTATGTGTCAACATTACTTGGAAGGTTTGGCACCCTGAAGTAAACAACCACTGCCTTCCCCCCTCCCCACCCCAAATAAAGGGAAGGAAAAGCACAATGCTTGGCGTAGATCCAAAGGCATGTTTCCAAGGAGCTAATGTGGCTGGGCTGCAGGAACCTTCCCAGGCTGAGCTGTCCTCCAGAGAGAAGACAGAGCAGTTCTCCCATGTGCCTGAGGCCAGAGGACTGCCCAAGCCCAACGTCCCCTGTTTATTCCTAGTTTTTAATATTTTTGTTATGATACAAATAACATAAAATGTGCCCATTTAAACTCTACAATTCAATGCAGCTTTCTTTTATTAACATATTCACAGAGTTGTACAATCATCACTATACTCGTAGGACATTTTCATCATCCCTCCTTAAAAAAAAAAAAAAAAAAAAGAACCTGAACCCATTTACTTTCCATCTTTATAGATTTACCTGTTCTAGACATTTCATATCAACAGAGTGCCTGGTCTCTTTTACATAACATGATATTTTAAGGTTCACCTATATTGTAGCATGTATTCAAAATGTATTTATTTATTTATTTTTTATTTGACAGGTACAGTTATAGACAGTTATATAGAGAGAGGCAGAGAGAAAGGTCTTCCTTCCGTTGGTTCACTCCCCAAATGGCTGCTATGGCTGGTGCTGCGCCGATCCAAAGCCAGGAGCCAGGTGCTTCTTTCTGGTCTCTCATGCAGGTGCAGGGGCCTAAGCACTTGGGCCATCCTTCATTGCCCTCCCAGGGCCACAGCAGAGAGCTGGACTGGAAGAGGAGCAACCGGGACTAGAGCCCGGCGCCCATATGGGATGCCGGCGCCACAGGCGGAGGATTAACCAAGTAAGCCACAGTGCCGGCCCCCAAAATTTATTTCTTTTCATTGCTGAATAATATTCTTTGGTGTGGCTATAACAGCTTTTGTTTAACCAGTCATCAATTGGGTATTTGGGTTGTTTATTTTTTATTTTTATATTTTATAATATATTTGTGTATTTACTTTTTGTGTTATTTTGTGTATGTCCTACTGGTGGCCCCAGCGTTGTGGGTGGTGTTGCCATACTACCAGAACAACCTCCACATCTGCCGGCACCATGACAACTTGCTTTCATTGGGGAGCATTTGGCCCTATCTGATCCTTAGAGAAGGGTCTGAAACTGAAACTGCTGTGCACACTGCACAGGAACCACTGAGAACCAAAATTCTAGGTGAATTCCCCCTAATCCTAGGACCAGCATAGTGATGCAGGGAGTATGGGGGAGTGGGAGAAGTGCAAGAACTTGGCCAGGCCTACCCAGCTCTGAGAACACTACTTGTAGGCACTGTGCTGACTATGATCAAAGGCTGGAGTCCTCTAAGGGCTTTGCTCTAGCAAAATACCTTGCCAGAGCTGGAAACTAGACGAGCTTCTAAATGTGGCATTGCTCCCTGGCCTCAAGAAATTCTCCTAAGCTCTCAATAATTTTTTAAAAACTGGTCAACCATGCTAAAGGGATGACTGGCTTACCCTTTTCCTTTCTCAAGGGAAAATTGTATTACAAAATTGTTGTCATATCAAGTAGTAATCAAAAGAAATACAGAGAGAAGTGTTATCTTTGAACAGTGATGTAAAAAGAAACTCCAATATTCATTTCCACCATAAAATCAAACACACTTTTTACAGCTCTGAAAATTAACCAAATACTTGCAGCAACAGGGGAATGTTTATTCAAGGAAAGCACTGAATCTCAGTAAGAACAGAGGACGTTCTGTCATTTTAACTTATCTCAGGCCTTGAAAAGGAGGGCCTACATTCCTGGTCCTGGAAGGAATGAATGGTCCTCACTTAAAAAGAATTGTAATTATTTTCTTTTTAAAAATGTATCTTGTAACTCTGTGGAAGAGCGACTCAAAAGGATTATCTTTATTTTGCTTGACTTGGAACTGGCCCAGTTCAAAACCCACTGGGAAGGAGGAGGGCGTTTATCAAACATATTTAACAGGTAAATGTTTTAGCTGCTGCTGCCTGAGGTTATAGATAAAGGTTGACAAAACCAACAAGTCTGAGAGAACAGGCTGGAAAATGAGATGTCCATTAAGGCTTTGAAATGTTCAGACATGTTCCTGTGAGTCTGGAATGCCATGTATGCTCAGGAATGACCGGGTTAGGCTGTAAGTTCTAACCTTTGCCTGAACCTGGGGCTCTGTACAAGAAGGAAGTGATAGCTAAGGCAGAATTATAAACCTTGTGACTGGGTGTTGAAGGTAGAACACATACACAGAGTCTCTTGGCAATAATCTGGCAATATTTTTGTTTCCAAGCATTTAAGAAAATCTCTGTTTAATTATTGGCTGACTACAAATCTAACAGTGGCCACAATTGTCAGTGGCCACAATTGTCAAAGAATACAGATGTTAAAGAATTAATTCATAAAAGATGTTAAACAAACAAATAACAATAACTAAAATGGAGAACAAAAAATTCTGAGAGGAGAGAATTTGATGTCCAGAGTTGCCATACTATGAGTTCAAAATGTCAAGTTTTCAATAGAAAATTAGAAGACATGCAAAGAAACAAGAAGGTATATACCCAAACACAGGGGGAAAAAAGAAATGAATGGAAACTATCCCTGAGGAGACCTAGACACTGGGCTTGCTGGAAGAAGACCTTAAATAAACTATTTAAAATACATTAAAAGTGAAAAAAAAAAACCATATTAAAGAACTTAAGGTTTAAGACTCATGTCTTACCAAGTAGATGACTTCAATAAAAGTTAGAAATTATATGTTTTAAAAATTCTGGAGCTGAAAATACGATTACTTAAAAAATCGCTAGAAGAGCTCAACAGTAGATTTGAGGAAGTAGAAGAACCAGCAGCTTAAAGGGAGGTCAATTGAGATTATTCTGACTGACAAGCAAAAGCAAAAAGAGTAAAGTCAAAAGGTAATCGAGAATACACAGAAACTCATATTCACATAATTGTAGCTCTAGAACAAGAAGGTGGAGAGGTGGAAGACAGAAAGAATATTTGAGAAAGAATGACAGAAAACTAAAATTCGAAGAAAACATTACAAACACATCCAATGTACGCAACAAACTCCAGCTAGAAAAAACTCAGAGATCTGTGTTGTGATATATCATAACCAAGGTATTGAAAGAATCTTAAAAGCAACAACAGATAAATGACTCATCTCCCTCCAGGAAGCCTGAAAAAGATTAACAGTTGATTTCTCATCAGAAACTGTGGAGGTCAGAAAGCAGAAGGATGTTGTATTCAAGGTGTTTAAATTAAAATAATAAAAAAAAAAGTCAACCAAGAATTCTGTATTTGACAAAAGTTTCCTTCAAAAATGAAAAGAAATTAAAACATTTATAGACAAAGAAAAGCTACAAGTTTGTTGCTAGCAGACCTACTCTATCCAACAAGTGGTAAAGAAAGTCCTGCAGGCTGAACCAAAAGGAAATGACACCATATAGAAACTGAAAGTCATATGAAGAAGAAAAGATCTCTAGTAAAGGGAATTATAT